GGTATTGTTGACAAGAGGAATGGCTGTGTTTATTGTTTAATGTTATATAGCCCGGTTATGCACAGTATATATGTGACTACGAAAATGAAATGGAAAAATAAAAATAAAAACACATTTACGAGAAAAAAGAAAAAGAAAAAAACCCCCAAAAACTAGAGTTAGATTCAACAGTTAGATTTTCACAGCAGAATTATATTGCATTATAATTGTACATTTAATGTTATAATATATGTCCCTGTAATATTATCATATTAAATAATGAGGATTTGTTAGATAGGAAGAGAGACATGTGCTATATATCACTAGCTTTCTTTTGTCAAGGAGGGGCGGATAAGAATTTCTTTGACTTAGCTAGATAAAACACTTCCAACATTTGGGAAACCATGAATGACTCACTCGTGACATTGAACCTAGTGAAATTTCTCTGGGGTTTCACTGAGCATTTGAAGTTGAATGAACATTTGTTCGTTGTGTTTCCCTTTGATTTGGGGATTCTGCTTTTTAGCTTGCCATGACTCACCCAAGCCATCACTTGAACTTTGGAATGAATCCAGACCATGCCAGAAATTCCTTGTCAAATTGTGGGATTCGGCAACCCAAATATGGGGATAGGAAAGTTCACCATATGCATATGAGGAAGAAAGGTCAGTGTGATTGTCTTTCCTGTTGCCATTTCGTCCTTTGATGTGAGCATCGAAGTTGCTTCCAAGAGTCCTTCATTTCAGCCTTTTTTGGAAAGCAGGTTGTAAAAACAGAACATTTATTGTTTCTTCATAAATATCCTCCTTGTAATTATCAGACTACAGTATTACCGTGGTACTCAACTGCTTTGAAACTTATTGAATTTGGTACTCAACGCATTTTGACATGAAAATTTTGTCCTGGTACTCATCATTTGTTTCCTACTCAACACACAAGCTAGCTAGAACTTGTCGCTGTTGGCGGCTTTGTGACTCACTACATTATTCCTTATAGGAAAAAAATGTTCGATGCTCATCATTTTTGGTACTAATTATACCTCCCAGAACCAATTAACAATGAGTAGTGAGATACCGCTGTATATTGAATATATGAATACATTTTTAGATGTGATTTTATATTTTACAGGTATAAACACTTTGATCAATATTATGTCACGTCTTGGTCAAGATGATCCAACTCCTTCCAGGTATGTGTATAAATATTTTTTCCCACCACTGGGCTTCTTATGCATTACAAGTGTGTGGCAGTGATATTCACATTACGTAATGCCTGCATTAACTCTTTGATGTGAACAAGACTTCAGAATTTCAGTTGAATTAATAGAAACACGATGCATTTACAACGAGAAAGCACGTGGTGTAAAATGCTGGAGAAGATACAAGTTCACAAGTGCAGAAGGACAGCTGGTTCCCTTCAAACTAGGATTCGCAACTCAGGAGTCAGATTCAAGTAAAATCTACCAAGAGCTAGTTTGTGGTTTATTTCTTGACTGCCTATTGGCTTTACTATTGTTAGTTGATCCTAAAAGGAAGAAACTACCTTGTTCCCCTGAAAATAAAACATCCCTGGATAATAAGCCCTTTTGAGGCTTTTGAGTGCCTGCGGTAAAATAAGCCCTCTCCTGAAAATACTACAACACAGCAGCTGCCATGAGGTGACCAGTTCCACCACAAATGCGCGCACAACAAAAGCGCGCCTGACTAAACCGCGGTGTCTAAAGCGCGGTGACAAAACC